AGCCCTCTACCTGGAAGGGCAGACAATCACCTCCAAATCTACTCTCGAGGGTACCAATCAGTCTTCCCATCACTGTAACCAGATGTCCGGCAGCATGGACTTGGGGGAGGAAAGAATTCTTGTGGCTCATTCTGTCAGAGTGTTCAGTCTCTGGTCTTTGGCCCCATGCACTTGGATTAAGTGTGTGGTGGGGGAGGTTTTGTTTTGTTTTGTTTTCTCAGATGCTAGTGTCCAGTGCTTATAAAAAATGGGAGAAGTTAAAGACAGAAGCAGATCCAGAGACATTAGTGTCGTCAACAAAGCAGGAAGCGACCAGGATCTAATTGTCTAGATACGCCAATACAGTCACACCTAAATGTGGGCTTCATTTGTCTCCTCAGAGTCTCAAAACGCAATCAAGCTGAGAAGTAAGACCCAACACTGTAGCTGAGATCAATCACATTTTGGTAAATGAATGTGAAATCCAGGGTGGGGCAACATGGGGCCCAATATGAATAATTCATTCAGTAGATTGACGAGAAGACCGAGAGACGAGACTGGAGCCAGTCAGAGAGTGCTGTGAAGATCCGACTCAAGCCCAGGAAAGCACAAGAAAGTTCTGAGGTAGAAGAGAAGCAATGTGCAGAACACAGATGGGCCGCTGTTTTCAGTGCCCGTGGCTGACTGTGGGATCTGCTTCACAGGTCGGCAGACCCAGCTCTCTGAGAGCAGAGGATTGCATTCGTTTGCCTCAGCTTCCTGCATTTAGAGCGCCACCATGTTTCACAGTTCCTGGCACACAGTAGGTCTCCTGGCTGCCTGGCTGCTAATCAGATAGTAAACAAAGCTAAACGAAGAGGGTTATTTTAGTGATGTGACTCACATCCTGCCGCCACATACTGAAGGGCTTGGACATCCAACAGCTGACAGAGCCATGGAATACACAGTCGGATTTCTCTCTGGTTCTCTTTGGGCTTTGAGTCACTTACGGCACCGATGTTTCTGAATGCTCTGACATGTACCGTGTTCCGTGAGGCATTGCTGGAAGGGGCAAGGCTAATTGTTTCCAATCACGATGGAAACAAAAGGAGTGCCTCCACCCAACTCACGAGTGGCTGGGAGAGAACTTAAACTCAGCATTAGCACCCAGGGGTCACGGGTGATGGGAAGCCGTCATGGCCACTTGTCATGAGAGGTACACCAACATGGAGCCTCATGTATCAATGCTCCATAGTCAGTTTCATTACATAAATACTGTTGCTGTGACACAGGGGCATGAAAGGACGAGATGAGGATGAGAATCTGGGGAGATAGCCAATCCTGGACTGGAGTGATGACTGACAAGGCAAGCAGGCCATCTCAGGGATGGGTGACTGGTGCCCAGTGCAGGCTACCCAGCACAGTACCTCTGCTCAGCAGGGGACACCATGGGGCAAAGGCACCTAGGATGGCCCCAGGAAATCCAGCATGACTGCACTGGGATTAAGACTATAGTCAGAAAACAAAGGCTCCCAAATAAAGGGACCGAGAAACAGGAGTGTTCATATTGCTTCCATTACAGGCCCCCTTCTGTTCTGACAGATCATCATGATGACGCTTAAAATAACACTGTGCCACCATGGAGGCCCATGCATGGCAGCATCCAGGAGGTTGAGGCAGGAGGATGATAACCTGAAGGTCAGTCTGGGATAAACAGTAAGACTCTGTACCAAATGAGACAAAACAGCAACAAAATACACTTGTGTTCTGCCCTGCCTTGGCACATGGTGAGCATCTCGGTGCTGAAATTTTGTCTGTAGAGCTGTTTTGCGTGTGCACGCTCATCCGTTAGCAGTTTGGATGTGACTCAGACAATAGCAGAATTGCTTTGCATGCTTTCCAAACCATCTCTTTCCTCCCATTTCTTTCTTTCTTTCTTCTTCTCCTTCTTCTTCATTATTACTTAAAAAAAAAAGAAAAAGAAAACCAAACTCCTGCCCCAAGAAACTGGTGTCTGAAGTCCTAGTCAAAAAGTAGCAATGTTCTATCCACACATTAATGATTCCAAAATTCTCCATTATGAACAATATTTATCAAAAACAGCCCACTATCAGATGAAAGATGTGTCTTATCGTTTCCTGTCAACTAAAACATTACTCACTGAAAGTTTCCCTCATATCTGTTTCAGGGGTTCACTGTCATTGTAAATTGCGAATCAATCATCCCTCTCCAAGCCCTACTTCTGGAGGGGAGATTAACGCTGTGGCTGAAATTGTTTACGAAGCCATTTGTAAACCTTCTGCGGATGCAGATGAGGCCAGTTTACCAGCTTAACATTGTTGATCCCAGAGAAAGCCTTAAGCAATGACTTCAGAGGGCAAAAAAATTTGTTCATTTATCATTATTGTCATGGGCTTTCGCAAATGATAACCATTTGTCTCCATCCTATTTTTAGACAATGAGCCACAATAGAGTCCAGAAAGCCATTTTGCCAGATGGAGGAAGGTGCTTTCACTGCAGAATGTTGTCTTTTCTTTTCCCTGCCCTCCAAAATTGGCTTAAGTGAGAACCAAGGATATGTTTTAATGTCATGATTCCCAGAAGGCATGAGGACATACAATAAAAGCCTCCCCGCCAGTCGCGGGACCGATGTGCTTCAGATGCACTGAAGAGACTTTTCAATCTCCATTCCTAACTTCGGGGCTGGCGACAAAGATGGGGAAGCCTTGGAAGATAGCTCTGGGTTTTTAGCATGCCTTGCTTCCTTATTAATATTCCCCTTTTTTAAATGAAACAGTGCAATAGGAAGCCCAATTACTTCTCATTAAGATGAATAAAAATGTTAGGATAAGCTGGACATAAAATAAACATTTAAAGTGATAGATGGTTAATTCCTCTGAGCTCAAAACTACTTATCAGGGGCTCTCTGTGGAAAAGGAGAGAAGAAAATCCTGGTTTTGTCAGAGATGGTCCACAGTTTGCTGTTTCCTTGAGCTTCTTCCAGGCCACCTCAGCGGGCTTCTGGCAGCATCCTCTGCAGGAGGGAACTGTTGCTTTTTGTGTCGTTGACAGCCCCTTTGTAAAAGGCGAATTCCCCTTTCCAGGCACCCCTTCCATAGCCTTCTGCCTATGCGGGAGCCTGCAGTCGGCTCCTTGAGTCTCGACGACTTCTAGAATCCAAACTTAAGAATCATTTCGGCCCTGCTTCTACCTTTGTTTTCTTCTACAGAAGGTAATAAACTGATGTACCTTACCAAGATTTCATAGGAAAGTCAGAATGCCCTGGGTTTGCTACAGGGGCCAGGTAACGTCAGCCTTTATAATCTAGAAGCTTGTGTTATTAAGTTGATATTTTTTATAGCTAGTACAGCTGATTCTTGGGATAATAGCACTGCTGGCCATTAACAGATTATTGTCTGAAAACATTCCCACATGGCCTGTGCACACGCATGCTTGCAGCATGATACACATAAACAGACATATGACTGACATAAAGGTTCACGAGACGGAAGATTTTTCCTCCACGAGTTTCAGGGAGCTCCAAGAGTTTGGGTTGTGAGATACACAGCAGGCGCTCAAGAAAGACGGCTGAAGTTCCACTCCAGACCCAGGGTGATGGCTCGCTCCTCGGTTTAGCGCACAGGGGACGAGTGTGTTTTCCTTCTCTCTCCATGTGGTCTGTGTTGCTCGCCTTGCCTGCACAGATAGCTGCTTCTTCACAGGCTGATTCCCTAAAGCAGACCAAGATGCCTGTTCAGTGTGACATGGGGCGTCCTCAGACTTGGCCTGGGCTCTCAGACTCCCCTGTCCTCAGCCTCCATCCACCACCAACACCACAACTCCCCCACTTCCCATTCTCTTCCTCCCACCCCACCCCCGTTGTGAGTTCCCCGTGAGCCCATTCCACAGAGCTCTCTCAAAGGGCCTTGCCTGGACCTCCTTTGTCCAAGGTCCCCAAGCCCCTTGGCCAGCTTCATTCTCAGTCTGGTTTGAACCTGACAGTTTTACTTGACAGCTTGGCTTAGCCACGGCCAGTTGTTTCCTTTTCCCTTTGCTTTTGTCAATAGGGAAGAATTTATTGATCAGAGATTTGCAGCCTGCAGTCATTTGAAGACAGACTAGGACACGGCATGCGCCTATAAGTCATCGCCTTTCGCCCGAAAGTTTTCAGTTTTTAATGTTAACCTAAGTCAGACCAACGGTTATTTATTTGTCCCTCTTTGAGCCAAGTCTTCCCTCAGGGTCATTTTTGATGTTTCACAGACTCCTTTTCTTTTCCTCTCCCCACCTTGCTTCTAGTCCAATTGTGCCTCAGGTTACGGATCCTCCAGCCTCTTTCCCCGGGTGCTAGGATAACCGGCAAGCGCCATACAGTTATGCATCGCTGTGCACCCCCGATCCTCATCCTTCCGATTTAAATTATACCACCTGTAATCTATGAAGGCGCTACTTAGAGTTTCAGAGAGATGGGAAGGTAGCTCAGTAAGCAGCGTGGGTGCATCGCTCTCTCCCCCAGATCTGCCTAAGAGTCTCACCAAAGCCCCACATTTGGCCTTCATGGACTCAATTTCCTCTACCCTGACATTAAACAAGGACTTTTAAGGTTCCACTAAATAACATTTACAGTAACAAGTGCAGGGGGGAACATCCTGCTTTCTGGTAAACATGTGAATGTCCTAGAGCCTAGATCAACCCCAGTTCTATAGAAGAACAGAGAACCCTCACTATTGGTAAATTATTTATGTGGGGCTCAGTCCAAGCTTAGTTCTGAAGTCACGTGGACTTGGACTCAGATTCTGGTTCTGAGTCACTGGGGAAGCTAACTTCTAAACAATGGCTTCAGTGTCCTTGTCTGTCAAGGAAGGACAAAAACAGTACCATAGCACTGTAGATGCCTCACGGTGGCAGACACTGCTTTTGTCCAAGATCTGTCTGCTGTAGATGCTCAAAATAAACAATGTTGCTGATGTTGTAGCTGCTGGTGCTGGATAAATTCCACTTCTAATATGGGAAAAGACACAGAATAGAAATTCTACCTTCTTAACAAATTCTGATCATACATTTCAAAATCAGGTGAGTATATTTGTGTGGCTAGGTACCCAACATCAAGAACTGTTAATTCTGTAAAGCTGAACGCCTGTGCCTCTTGGACAGCCGGTCTCCATTCCCCTCACGCCCAGGTCCCGGAAAACCTGTTATGGCCATATTGGATGATATCACACTGCTTCTGTTCTGCAGCATGCCACAGGACACTTTGGACCCTCCAGTTTGAGTCAACAAAGTGACATTGCCTCAAGTAAAAGACGGGGAGCGGCTGATAGAGAAGATAATTCTGTTCCAGCAATCAGGTCTCAAAAGCCCAAGCCTGTAAGAAGTCAAAAATGAGTCTCAGGCATTGTCAATCAACTTGAAGAAAACACGATGAGTCTTTGCAATGCCTTCATCTTGCCCCAAAGGCTATGTTAAATGCTACAGAGCAGAAGAGAGGGAAAGAGAAGAGTAAGTCAGATGCTAACAGATTCTTGAGACGGACCTGATACTCTGACACCCTAGAAATTTAGCCCCAGAAAGATATACAATTCCCTAGAACTTGCCCAGCTGTGTAGAGACATGAGTCACTGAGTGGTAACACAATCAGACTTCTAAGGATATCCCATCACTGTAGAAAGGGAAGGCCTGCAAAGGCCCCACCCACCCACCTTAGCCAGGATGCCTCATCCACCAGTGAAGATGAAGACTGGCTTTAAGGATTTGGCTAGATGAGAGGAAATGAAATCCAAGCTACGTTTCCTGCCTTTCTGCTGAGGGAGCTCCTTCCGCTCCTTCAGCCAATAGCCGCTGAGAGACCATATTTTCCTTTGTTTTTTTTTTTAAAAAAAGAGGGGGAAATTGTGCGGGAGAATTGTCTGTAATTTGTCAATCATATTTTAAATAAATGCTGATTGGCCAGGCAGGAAATATAGGTGGGTCAACCAGAAAGGAAGTAGAGACGGGGCAATGAGAATAGGAGAAGGCTAGGGAGGAGGAAGCTCCCTCTGCCACTCCTGCCCAGACCAATCAGCATTTTATTAAAATGCATGATTGACAGAATACAGACAATTCTCCCGCACCACCTTTCTGATTCAGACACTGAGGCTCAGAACTACTTTATTATGTCCTTTCCTCCTCCGACTCGAGCCCTTGTACCTACAAATGTTTTAAATCTCCTCCTGCCTGGCCAGCCTTCGTATCAGTGAGTAGAAGAGATGCACTCAGTGATTCAATCGCAAATGGAAAGACAGTATATTTGTTCTCTCGTCAACATCAGATCTCTAACTACTGAGCTAGTGTGTAGTGAGAGCCCAGTGTGAGCCCAAAACTGTTCTAAAGCAGATTTGAAAATAAATAAAGCAAACTAAGACTTTCCTTTAAGGCTCCTGCAAGCCACAGGATAAGCACACACCATCAGGGAGATTGGGAGATATTGGCAAATGGAAGGCTCTGTTTCCTGGGCCACACTCTTGGAGCAGTAATTGTTTGTATGTGTGTGTGTGTGTGTGAGTGCATGTTTGTGTGTGTATCTGTGTATGTGTGCGTCTGTGTCTGTATGTGTGTGCATGTCTGTGTGTGCCTGTGTCTGTGTGTGTCTGTGTCTGTATGTGTGTGCATGTCTGTGTGTGCCTGTGT